TATTAACGTCGTGCAAGATTCACCTGGGACTCTCACCGTTCTCCATCCTCCTCGGCCCGGAATCCGTAATCGACTTCCCTTTCATCGAACTCTCGTATTACTGGTTGGATAATTAGCTCGACTAATTATAAACTGTACCATGTGCACGGGCTGCGGCAATAAAGACGACACAACCGCGAACGGGATGATTCCTCGCGCAAGGATAAATCGAGGCTGCACAATACTCTCCCCTCGAGAGCACTCGACTTCGTCTCTGAGAGAGAGAGAGAGAGAGAGAGGGGGGAGGAGGGGCATAATAGAGAATTGAACGATTAATTTTCGCTCTCTCTTGAATCAGCTGATTTTTAATACAACCAAAGTGGATCTCGTCTTGATTTCCCCTTTATGATTGTGTCATTGCTTTATTTTCGCAAAACTCGCGTTAACGGTACGTTAGAAGAAACCCGTTTTGCGCAGAAGCCTCGGGAGCCGAAGCCCAGACTCGTACGAGGCCAGAATGGCTCTGGGAGGATATTAACGATAAATTATAAGCGACGGGGTGTGTGAGTGAACTTACAAAGTGACGTTGCAACGTCTGCGACGAGTTTATTTATACGCGGTGGCTCGTCATATATATATCATATATGTGCCGCGTCTGCGGCCGCGTCAGTGCCGAATCCGCAGATTTATGTCCGCAAAATTCTGATGTATTCGTTACAGCTGGACTGCGCGCGGGAGCTTCCGCGGGGAAACCGACTGAAAAATCAAGGTCCCTCGTCAGAAGTCAGAAGAGCGAAATCTTCACTCGTCCCGATTCTCTTTCCGCGCGCGACGGTTCGATAATCCCGTCGTAAACCCACTGCATTATCCGCATTGTCTGTTATCGGGCGACTTTGCAACGGATATTTTTCATAAAGAAAAAAGAAAAAAACCCTCACCCACAACAGAATGTGGAAGATGCGGTGCGAGCGATCAGTCACGTGTAGAAAAAAGAATTGAAGAGCTGTGCTTTCATGCAGCCTGTGACAAGATCCTCGTTAATGCGCGCGGGAGATGAGTGCCGTAGCCGAGAATACACCCAGGACACCAAGTGTTGGTCCTTCGGCACCGCTGAAGTATCACAAGCATCTCTCTAGATACGCATCGATCCGGGAGACACCGACACGATTTTGGCAAGCTCCGCTGGTATTTATAGATAGATACGCGGAAATTTAGTATCTCCGACAGAGAGAGAGAGAGAGAGAGGGAGAGAGAGAGAGAGAGAGAGAGAGAGAGAGAGAGAGAGCGAGGCGCATGCAGAACCGTATCTCAGCGCCAGACTCCTTTCCTTGCTTCTTTACCTTCGTAATGAGAGCGATTGGCCGGTAAGGCAATTACAAAATACAGAGAGTCGGTCGTGCAGTTGGCATAAAGTGTATGTACACCTGACACACGAGTGTAATGAATGCACAGCTGACGGGAGGTGTATGTAATTAGCGTAGCGTAAAATGCATATGTGTCGGTGTTCGATGTTGCGAGAGAGACCGAACTGTTGCGAACGCGGTCCGCTCAGTGTTTCGCGCGAGAGGTTAGCGTCGCGTTAAAGTTTGCGAAAATGCGTGCGTGCGTGCGTGCGTGCGCACTCCGAGTTGCAAAACACTCTGCGGAAAAAGTCGCAGGAATGCAGCGTGTGGAGTAATTCAGCAGCGAGACACTCTCTAGTCGGTCTATTCTCACGCTTTAGTCAGGCTCCAAACATCCTATCTATATTCATAGAACGCTCTATCTCTACTAATTAATGCGAACGAAGCCTTGGATGGATGTGGCGAAGCCGTTAGTAATTAATTATGGAGGAAGGCGCTACTGCGGACGGTACCTATTGATTTCCAGCTCGCAATCCCGCGTTCCGCGTAAGATGCGCCCGCGAGTACGTAACTCGAGCGTGTATTCCAAATAAGGAAACTAATCGACGCGCCGGCGAATAATCAGCCGTCCGCAAAGTCTGCGTCCGCAGAGAGGCAAAAAAGAAAAAGGAAAAGGAAAAGAAACTCGCAAAAAATGACGCGAAAATTCGCACGAACGGAGCGGATTCGAGCGGAGATATACAAGAACGAGCTACGTCAAAACTCGCTCGTTCAGCTCGCGCTAGAGAAGAATCTCTCCTCTCGAAGTGCATCAAAAATATTGAAGGGCGCATTCCCCGAAGAAACACTCCGCAGAGACTCGTCTGGTCTCATGACTGTCTTTACCTCGTTCGATCGCTCGGACTGGGCAACTCGTCCGCGCATTTGTATGCGCGCATGCTACTGCGGCGGTTAATCAATTAATCAGCTCTGGACTAATTAATGCAGAACGGAGTGGGAAGGGAGACAGAGAAAGAAAGAAGGACAGAAAGAGAGACAGAGAGAGAGAGAGAGAGAGAGAGAGAGAGTTAGAGGGAGATGGAGAAACAGAGACAGAGAGAAACAGACAGAGAATTCGGACGAGCGCAAAGTGTCCGTTTGTTCAAGACTTACGTTCAATTACGATGAATCCAGGTAGAGAACCAGCGCGTGACACATGCATGAAGAGACACGTGGAAATCAGTTTTCATCAAGAACAACGTTATCATTAACGTCATCGTGTGTTTGACAGAGAAAGGAGGAAAGACGGACAGAGAGAGAGAGAGAGAGAGAGAGACAGACAGAGAGAGAGAGAGAGAGAGAGAGAGAGAGAGAGAGAGAGAGAGAGAGAGAGAGAGAGAATTGTTAATTTCGTCGCACAGTTAATCCGCGATCGACCGCGATAGCGTCGCCAATCGCATCGCGCCCTCTTCGACCCTTTCGAGTCTCCTCGTTGCCTCGACGAAAGTTGAAACTTTCGCCGAAGCACGTGCCGTTCCTGCCGGCAGATAACGTGGCGGCAAGTTACGTGGCCGGTTCGGGAACGGTCGCGGCCGCGCGGTCTCGGCCTGCGTATTATCCCGGCCCGGGTGAATGCGCGCCTGTTAAGCGGCCGTCGCTTAACCGATACTTCGCCAGTCGAATAGCGCGATTCCACGCTGTTGGCGGCGCGCGGCGCGGCAGGGGTTGCATTAATAGCGAGCGATCGCGTTCTCATGCATCGGATTCCGACGACAGCGGGGCGAGCCGCTGGGTGAAACTCCGCGGATAGATTAGCCTCCATCGAGGGGGGGAGAGAGAGAGAGAGAGAGAGAGAGAGAGAGAGAGAGAGAGAGAGAGAGAGAGAGAGAACGGTCGTGAAACGCTTTTCCGATTGCTGCCGCTTCTCCGGCTTTCTCGTCCCTTTCGGCCTCTCTTTCAATGGCGGGCGGAAGAATTACGACGGGAAGTCGCGCCGTTTTATCGCGCGCCGACCGGGGCGATTAAGCGCGATCACTTTCTCCGCGCATTTGAGATTACCCTCGAGCCGTTTAATCGTCAAAATGCGAGAGAGGCTCTCTTCCTCGCGCGGATAGCGCTGAAAATCGACGGATCCTCTCGAGAGGATCCTCCTTCCGCCACGCGGTCTCGCAAGCTGGCAGCTCGAGCTCGATTAATTAACTAAAAAACGCGGTGCTCAATTAAATAACGGCGCACACCTCGTCCAGTTTTCATGACGGAGGAAATTATTGCGCGTGGCTCGTAATTTAGTATGCTAATTCGCAGGACGGGATCGCGGCTCAACGTGTGACATCGGGTGGCCGGCCGGCAATTCCGTTAATGGAGGAATTTTTGTACATCCCGCGATTCGATTTGATAAATTAGAAAAACGAGCTCGAATTAAGTAAATCAAATTTTCTTTGCAATTCCGATAATGGAACAGCTCGTAGCGGCTGCTGGAGGGCGAGAGGGTGCAGAAGAAGGGGCAGAGACGTTTGCGCGTTTTATACATGGCCCGCGCGATTTGTGACGCCAGCCTTTCCGAAGGACACCGCGAGAGATGAATTAAAATCTTTTTATAGTCTGTAAACTTTCCGGACACTTCTCTCACCGCGACATCCTTCTCTCCTGTCCCTACTTTTTTACGTTGCACCTTATCTAGCCGACTGAAGAAAGATGTCTTAGATGTAAGAAATTTCACTTGAACACGGCAAAACTCGGAGACGGTCCGAGTAAACGATCATCGTTCATCGCGCGCGGCCGTAACCTCGTTTAAAAAGTATTTCAAATTTTCCACGGCGGAGATTTATCCGCGTCGGGAGGCTTGCAGGACTTCCGCCAAAGTTCGTGTCGCTAAAAATTCAATCGAATCGGAGCGAATTGAGTCGAATCGAATCGAAGGGCAGGACGCGAGCGAGGAAGTGGTGGCGCTATCGGAATCGCATGTCGAGAGTTCAAGTCGAGATTTTCCTTCCCGTTTCGCTCGCATGCACACAGAATGAAGCATTTAAATCGGAACATCTGAGCGTCCTGTAACGGACACAATGAGAAGGCTCTCCTCCTCGAAAGAGAGAGCCGACGCGACACGATTCATCCACGACGCATCCACAGGATGCGTGTCGGGATCCTTTCCCTGTCGGGATCTAATATGGCGTATATACTTTACAGATATATATACGTGCATACTTTAAAAAACTACGTCATTTTGAAAGATCCACGCGCAAACATGTCATTGTACGCAAATATTAATCTACACGAAAAATAAAATATTTACATATGCATAATATATATATCACAATACCTTTTTCACTTCGAATAATATCTCTATATTCGAGCACGCAGTATATTATTGCGTATTACGTTACGCGAGAAAAATTATGCTAATTTTATACGCCGTATTATATACTGAATAATAATGCAGCATATAACCATAAATTTGCCCGGTGCAGCTGTCCCATTTGAATGTCTCGTCCTGCGCCGAGAGATAGGGAAAAATAGATAGATAGATAGATAGATAGATAGATAGATAGATAGATAGATAGAGAGAGAGAGAGAGAGAGAGAGAGAGAGAGAGAAAGAGAGAGAGAGAGAGAGAGTGAAAAAAAAGAAACGCGCGCGCGGATGGCCGGCTTCGGGATGGAATATATAAGGAGATTCTGGATCGGAAAACTCAATACTCACCTCCTTGCAGCAGCGGCTCGCCTAATTCGACGTAGAAGAGCGCGTCCTTTTCGTAGGAATCCTCCTCGATGATCTCCAAACTGATGATTTTCCTGCAACACGAGAGACCCGCAGCTGTGAGCAAGTCGCGATCGTGCGGACGAACGTGGAACTCGATCGTGGCACGCAACAGCGCAAACTTTTGCTTTTTTCCGTTCTCGCGGCGATCTCGCGGGCGGAAATTCAGTTCGCCAAACGGCGAAATCGATCGGCCGACTCGTCGGTGCCTCGGTGCCTCAGTTGTTACACGGTAATCGATTCATTAGGCGGCGCGGTGCCGATAAGGCGTCGGAGACGGTTAAACGCGACGGTGCTCCGCGAGCTGTTTCGAACTGCACGGCAGGATGGCGTCGCGGAAATCGATTTATTACTTTGGGTAATTAAGTGTCGGATAACTGTGCAACTTGCCGGCGCGCGCACATTAGCGTCAGGAGGCATAATTGAGAGGACTTCTTCTGGGAAGCGCGCTATTTTCCGAGATACACCACCGTGCTGTACTCCCCGATGGGATATTCATCAATTCCCATGGAGAGCGGAGGAGGACGGAAGGCGGGCGGGCGGGCGGGCGGGCGGGGTCCTTTTGATGTGCAAATTACACCTCATCTGGCGATAAATTCGATCAAAATTCGCCTCGGAGCACGGGATAAACAATGCGCCGCCGACTGAAGCGCGTCGTCGTTATTTTTCAAGGCGCGTGCGCCTGCGTGTGTGTGTGTGTGTGTGCGCGCATGCGCGTGCATTGCATGCTCAGACTGCCCTAAATATTAATGATATTATAATATTATTCGATATACATAGGTATGTATATGTGTTATTTATAAGCGGCGCGACTCGTACGCCGCGGAGGAACGGCGGAATAGCGGCAGGATCGGAGGGAGATCCTGCGGGTCGATTTGGAGTCGAGTCGCGCGTCGAGTGCCGCTCGATCGCAATCTGGTTCCTTCAATTAAGGCTCGCTCGCGCTCGGCCACGGCTCTATCTCTCCTCCTATAGTTTACAATCCAATTGTACTTCTCTCTCTCTCTCTCTCTCTCTCTCTCTCTCTCTCTGTGTGTATTTTTTTAACGTTTCCCAATAATAACATCGTTCGACGCAAGTGTGATACAACCGATGTCGCTTGTTTTCACGTTTGCACTATTATTTACAAGCCAGACCTGTCCACAGGACCAGAAGTCCTGTGATGTTTTCGCTGAAACTAATAGATACGGATACGGCTTCGCTGTGTGTGCTTTTCCTTTTTTGTTTTTTCTCTTTTTTCTTTATTCTATTTCATTTGTCCGCTTTCACGTGAAACATTCTCTATCGTCGTTGCGACGCACAAAAGGACATCTTTCTTTTTTTCGCCCGTGCGTTCTTCCGCTCGCAAACGACGCGCGGCTCTTTCTCGGAGTAAAACGAGAGACAGAGAGGCGGGGGTGGGGGGGGGAGGAGGGAGAAAGAGAAAGAGAGATCCGTTAGTGGGCGACAGATTAATAGAGTTTCCGCGGAGAGATTTAGAAAGCTTTTACATCGTTTGTCATGCGCTTCAACTTTTCACAACTCCTGCCTCAAAAGCTCGCTCCCGTATGCACCCCCGGCTGATTATCGCGCTTTGTTGCGTAGCCGCGCGCACATGTTCGTCCGCAAGACAGCACGCGATAGAGCAGCGCCGGCAGGTGGAAAGAGGTGTATAACGGCCAATCTTGCCGCTCACAGCGGCGCGAGACGCGACGTGTTTCTAGCCCGCGCCGTAATGCCTCGGCCGTTGGCGTTTTATGCATTTTCCCGGTACGACATCGATCTGATCGACCCGACGCGCTCGTGGAAGCGCTTAAACGTCCGATATCTTGCAGCGAGTGGGATCCGGCGCGCGGGGAAGAGTATTATTCGCGATACACCAGGGATACACCAGGAAGCCGTCTGACGTAGGGGGATCCGTAAAAGAAACATCGACGTCAAGTGAGCATCGATTACTTTTCGATGTTTCGATATTTTGCCTTACGACACATCGATATTTTATTGATGTTTTTTTGCTCTGTTTCTGATATTCTGCTTTTACACATTTAACTCTTTCGTTTACCCTCTTAACGACGATATATGTCCCACTTATGAGGAGAATCGTAACTTTGAGACAGTAATAGTTCTAGTTTGAAAAGTAAATAGTTTGAAAGGGAAAGGTGGAAGAGGAAAGAATTGCAAGATGGCGCAGACATCGCGGCTAAAAAGAAAACACCTGTGAGTAAGTAAGAAAAACGTAAGGAGTGAGAAAATTAAGCAATCACAGTCGACTATTCTCCTTACGGTCAAGAAATAATCAACTGTGATGTTACTTTTACAATCCGTAAATAAGAATCTATGGAACTTGTAAGAATTCAGGTACATCCTGTTTATATCGTCTGTTCTCATCTTTCTTCTTCTACAGCTTGTATTTCTTAATGAAAGAAATCTGTGATGAGTGCATGTTGCTGTAAATTTTCCATGTTCCGTTAACAATCCTTGCTTGTGTAATTCTTCTATCGTTCATAATCCTTTTTATTATATCGTAATCTTTGCGCATTAAATAAAGAGACATAAAATTTGTACAATATTCAGTAATATACAAAAAATAAAAAGAATTTAATTTTGAATGAAAACACCGATGAATCATCAAGTAAATATCGTTATAGAGGCGATATTTATCGAATATCGATATTAAGTTTCGACTTCGTTGATTCCGATGTGAAATATCGATGTCACTCTTACCGATGCGGAACTCTACGCCTGACGTTTGTCCCGGGGAAAATCCGACGGTTCAAAGCGCCAGGATTACGATAAATAGCGCGCGTACGACCCGTCGTAATTGCTTACACCCGGGGAGGACAAAGGGCTGATCTTTGCGCGGAGATTGAATAGAACAGGGGCGGCGCGAGTCTCGGGCTCTCGCACCGATTCAATCGCGCGCAAAAACTGCAGTCGAGTGAGACCGGACAAAAGTCGAATCGGATCGTCAATCAACGATGAAAAGGTCGACGAAACCGAAACCGCGGCTAATATCGTGCGAAATATCATCCAATTTCGAAAGGTTCATTCAGCCGCGCGTGATGCTTCCGGCCAGATAAAGATCCTCGCGCAAAGCCGACCTCAAAGCAGCGTGTAGGTCAGCTTTATGATCGCCGCCTTATTGAACGAAGTTTCGGGCTTGTTTCGTACAAACGGCAGATTCAAAGAACACGATAATCTCGCTGGAAGGATCGGGACAGCAGTTTGCCAAATGCAATTCCGGAAATTAAACTTACGTAACTTGACTCAAGTCGGAGCGACCGATGCAAGATTGCACTAAGGTCGGCCGCGAGTTTTCAGGGGAAAGGGGCACGGGAATGGAGAGGGGAAGGGGAGCGGCGGCGGCGGCCGGTTGTTGCCGCTGGATCGTTAAATAATTTCAAATGTCTCTCGAGAAGAGTGGAAGCTCGAGGAAGAAGTGCAAACTCGCGGAGCCGAAGCTGCACTTTGTGCACAGCCAACACGTGCGAAACAACTTGAAAATGTCAAACATATGTCGTAGGCACACATCGATAGGTCGCGCCGCGCTTTATGCACAGGGTGTCCAAGAATAAAGCGTGAAAAGAGAGGGAGCGCACGCTCGAGTAAACTTTGGCGTCGACGTTTAAACTTTACGTCGAGCCGGAGCTTTCTCGAGTTCGATTTATCTCGCAATGGCATTCGCATCCGTATAATTTCCCTCGTATTTCATCGGCGAGCTCGACGAAGGGGGGCGGCCGACGCAGCGCGGCGCGGCGGGGCGGGGCGGAATTAAGGGAGTTGAAACGATGGAAATGCGCGTGCCGGAGAAGAAATTCCAAGTGACACGAGACTCGCGGACGTGAGTTCCTTTATTTTTTTCTTCTTCTCCTTCTTCTTCTTCTTCACTTTGCCCTCCTCTCCCAGTGAATTATTTATCCCGGCGACATCTCGCTGAAAACGTCCGACACGCCGAAGCACTTTGGACACGCGAGCGCATGCACATTAAGCCGAATTACAACGCGAGCGTGTTACCGTGTCACCGCGAGCAACACGAATGTGCGATGATTTACCGTAACGTTTCCTTTCTTTTTTTTTTCAGCGTGACTCATGTTCACGAGGAATCAACATCCCCTGAGAAATCGACGAGGCACGCTCCGTGGAACGCCTCCCGCGTGGATCCCTTTCGGTAAATCCCCGGGAGCAGCCGCGAGAGGCGGAACAGCCGCTTAATTAGTTGCGCGAGTTTTCCGGAATGTCGACGGCGAATGTCCCGAAACGCGAGTTTCTCCGCGAAAAAATTTCCACGCGGAGAACCGGCTGCGAAGTCGGCCGCGTCTCGTGCGTCGAGGATTCCGTAATATGCAGTCGTGTAGCAATATGAAACCGTACAAGTGCGGCGGAACGAAAGCTCGTTAAGGCGAAGAACTTCATTTAGCGGCGCTATAATTAAACCAGCTAATGCTTGTTATCTTGACAGTGAAACACCGTTGCACGTGAGACTTAATCCGTGTTCATTCATATTGCGCATGCAAGTACCCCTTCCGCATTGTTGCGCAATCTGTTTCAATGGAGCGCGCTACTCCCCGGCGTGAAATCGAAATATCTCTCGCCGATCATGCAAATGTAATTCCGAACGCGCCGCCTCTGAACCGGCTTGTTCGGCCGGGAAAAAATAACGAAATACAGCACGGTGTATTCACGGCGAAAAATCACGCGTGACCAACTCCAGTAGCGGCGCCAACTTCGGCGAAGAAACGGGGGACTCGCCGGCCGTTCGCATGCGGAATCACGAGCGAGTCGGGGATTTATATTTCCCGCTGTTTATAATTTATTCCGCTGCTTATGACCCAAATGAACGGAAACTCCCGAGGCTCGTTTTTTTCTTTTTTTTCTTTTTTTTTCTCTTTTTTCGAGGACTCACGACTCCTCGAGAATTCCGGATGAGGAAACGGTAGGTCGGATTAAGAAATGTTAATTTCCCGCCGCGGTTCCTTTCGAAAGTTATTAATGTGTCCCGGGAATTTCCGTTCTCGTTGCTCTGGAAAGCCGCATAGTCAATATATAGCGGAGAATT